TTGGGTTTTTTTTTTTTTTAAATGTCGCGCCCCCCCCCCCCCCCCCGGCTAGGCGGTCGCCGGTGCTCCTTCCCTTTTCCGCTTCTTCATTCTGCTGCTGCTGGTGGCAGTGAAGAAGGAGCCAGAGGGGGTCATGGCTGGCAACGAGGGCTTGCACGCTCCTCCTCGTAGCCCCAGCTGGGCTAAGGAAACTCCTGGGCGGCTTCCTCAGGCTCTTGCTCCATTTGGTGGAAAATCTGATGCGGCCCAGCCTCACCCAGACTCTGCCTCCAGCAACCCCCAGGTAAATTGAGTTTGAGACCCCTGGTCTAGAAGTTATGTTAGCTAGAGATGTATATGAGGGGGAGTAATTATTTTTGTCAAATTTAAAGATAATATAACAATATAAATAAGTCAAGCACAAGTCTATGTATAAAATAACAAATGTCAAAACACTATTTATTCCACATGTTTTACAATAAGTATTCTTTCACATTTGTTAACCAAGATTAAATGATCATTTATTTTCACTACTGTAACACACACACAAGGAAGAATTCCTGAACCTTGAGCCAACTACCTGAGATAAAACCCTGGGGTCATGAACACAGTTTTGGCTGCAGTGACACGGTTTAACCACTGTACCACAAGTGGGGGGACTCAAGCCCCAAGCTCTGGATGACATATTCCCACAGCATCATGTAAATATTAAAGAGGACAAGGGATAATCCTGAGCTTTTGGGGAACCCATAGGCCATAAGGCGGGGTCATCAACCCCTGGTCTGCGGCCCGGTGCCGGGCCATGGGCTTGCCGGAACAGGGCCACGGATACAGATCTCCTCCCCTGCATGCACGGTGGGCGTGTCATGCTCGCATGCAGGGAGGTGTTGCACACCCCGTGCCCACGAGTGAAACACGCCCCCCACACTCGTGCACAAAGCAGGAATTCAGACTTACATCTGCATGTTAAAAATTCAATGCAACTCGCCTATTTTCATCCTTGTCGGATAGCCCAGCTGTGTGCCTATCTTGACATTGGGGCGCTCACCACTTTGGTACACGCGCTTGTAATCTCGAGATTAGACTACTGTAATGCGCTCTGCATGGGGCTACCTTTGAGGTTGAGCTTCAAATTGTGCAGAACGCGGCAGCCAGACTCCTTAGTGGTGTGAGAAAATATATCTCTCCCATGCTGGCTGCTTTGCATTGGATGCCCGTTTGGTTCTCAATTTCAAAGTTTTAAAGCTTACGTACAAAGCCCTAACCGGTTTAGGGCCTCGATACCTGGCAGAGCACCTACTCCCACCAAAATCTGCCTGTATCACTCGATCTAGCCAGGAGGTGAGGCTGAGGAGTCTAATGCCAACGAAGCCCCGGAAGGAAAAAACAAGAAACCAGGCCTTCTCGGCAGTGGCTCCTCGCCTTTGGAATAATCTCCCTCCGGAGATTCACATGGTCCCTTAGCTGGGCATCTTTAAAAGCCAATTGAAAACCTGGCTGTTTAGGCAGGCCTTCCCTCCAACCATGACTTGATTTACTCTTTTTACCTTTTCCACGTTGAAGCAGTTGATTATGATGTCTTATATTATTTTTATATTTTAAATTGTTTATTTTATATGTTGTACGCCGCCCAGAGTAGTCTATTGACTAGATGGGCAGGATATAAATTCAATAAATAAAAAATATATGAATAAATAAATAAGCAAAGCTATGGTGGCTTTCTGTTTTCATTAACCAACCTATTCATTAACTTACAGTTTTGTTGACTAAATGACAATTTGATTCTCAAAAGCATATGCTAAAATAGGCACAGACAAATTCTGATTGCCCAAAGGAAAACATATGACATTTTGGTACAAATGTCACAAAGCTAGACTGTTACAAAGCTAGACTGGTCTAGAGTCATCAACATGACCCTAGACCAGTCTAGCTTTCTTCTTGATCTATCCCATGACATCCTAGGTTGCATTTACTGGGAACAAATGGTATTCCTGAAAGCTACTAGAAACAATGTTTTCTGTTATATCAGTAGCTGGACAAAAATCAGGACCTGCCATAAGAATAACATTTATACTTCCTGCTAATATTCTCAAATTCAGAGGGCTGGACTAAATATAACACAAAAATTCTTATGTTACTATAATAAATATACTGTCTGAAAATAATTCCTATTATTATTTCAAAAAAGATACAACATTCTTCACCAAAACGACTAGTCAGTAGCCAATACCACTAAGAATCATGCCTTTACCTTGATGGAGCTCCCTCCAAAAAGCCTGCGTGCTAATAGCTTGCCTGCCTGTATAGCAACTGGAGTAAGTTCAGGCTTTCCTTCTAAAACATCTCCAATAGCATAGACGTAAGGCACATTGGTCTGTTCTTCATCATTCGCAGGTATTTTCCCATTCCTTGTTATGGAAGAAAAAAAAAGTTAACATAATTTGATGACTTGACCGCATTAAAAATTACAGTGGCATCACGAAGTCTGCGGCCCTCATCAAACCAAATCTGTCCAGACAGCAAACAGACTCTATAAACAGAGTGATTCAACTGGCTGTGTGAAGACTGATAGCTGATATAGTAACTTCAGATTTGTTTTTCATTTAGGCAAGCAATAGCTCGGGTTCCAAGGTTCTCTTAGGATCACTTTTCAGCTGGGGAAGTCTTTGGGAGCCTCAGGACCAGGGGGTGGGAATTGGGGTTTCAATGAATCACTGACAGTACCAATCCTGGCACCAGCATTAATGGCAACAATTTTCTGGTATGGAAGGCTTCCTCCCTCTCCCACGTCCCCCAGGCTTCATCAGGTCAAAAGGGATCCCAGGGAAGCCTTGAAATAGGAAAGAGTGGTGGTGGGAGGGATGGAATAGGAAGCTTTTAATGAGTGATAAAAGCCCATTTCTTAAAGAAATGAGGGTGCCTGATCACCTTATCTATCTCCTGAGAAATCGATACATGGGACAGGAAGCAACCGTTATAACTGGACATGGAACAACTGATTGGTTCAAAAGTGGGAAAGGAGTACGACAAGGCTGTATATTGTCCCCCGGCTTATTTAACTTATACTGTATGCAGAATACATCATGCAAAAGGCTGGACTCGATGAATCCCAAGCCGGAATTAAGAATGCTGGAAGAAAGATCAACAACCTCAGATATGCAGATGATACTACTCTGATGGCAGAAAGTGAGGAGGAATTAAAGAACCTCTTAATGAGCGTGAAAGGGGAGAGTGCAAAAAAGGGTCTGAAGCTCAACTTCAAACAAAACAAAACAACAAAACCCTAAGATCATGGCCACTGGTCCCATCACCTCCTGGCAAATAGAAGGGGAAGATATGGAGGTAGTGACAGATTTTCCTTTCCTGGGCTCCATGATCACTGCAGATGGTGAAAGCAGCCACGAAATCAAAAGACGCCTGCTTCTTGGGAGGAAAGTGATGAGAAACCTAGACAGCATCTTAAAAAGTACGCATAGTCAATGCTAGGGTTTTTCCAGTAGGATGTATGGAAGTGAGAGCTGGACCATAAAGAAGACTGACTGCCGAAGAATTGACGCTTTTGAATTGTGCTGCTGGAGGAGACTCTTGAGAATCCCCTGGACTGCAAAGAAATCAAACAAATCCATTCTGAAGGAAATCAACCCTGAGTGCTCACTGGAAGGACAGATTCTGAAGCTGAGGCTTCAATACTTTGGCCACCTCATGAGAAGAAAATCTCCCTGGAAAAAACCCCTGATGTTGGGAAAGTGTGAAGGCAAGAGGAGAAGAGGACGACAGAAGACGAGATGGCTGGACATTGAAGCTACCAATATGAATTTGACCAAACTCTGGGAGGCAGTGGAAGATAGGAGGTCCTGGCATGCTTTGGTCCACGGAGTCACAAAGAGTCGGACATGACTTAATGACTAAACAATAATAAAAGCCCATGGCTGATGACATCATCAACTTCTAAAGATAAGTTGTAACTAAATTCAAGAGGATTTTGGCCACTTTCAAACTGTTCAATTAAGGCAAAAACTCGAAGGATGTGAGATTTCAAGTTGGCACTGTGACTTATATAGAAACCAGTAAAAACAAGTATTGAATGCTGTAAGCCGCCCAGAGACCTTTGGGTAGTGTGGGCGGCATATAAATTAAATAAATAAACAAACAAATTAGCTTCTTAACTGAAAAAAGAGGACAGCACTTGAAGATATGGTAATATTGAACTTCAAACACATACAGACGTAAAAGCTAATTTCAAATTAATTCTGATAGCAATGTTTAAGACACCCAGGTTTATTCTCAAAGAATTCAAAGCTGATAATTTTTCAACTGATTTTTTTAAAATAGCTATATCTGGTGGGAGGAGGGGGCTATTAAAGACAAAAGCAAACTTCCAAACAAATATCAGTAGGTTCTGAGAGAAATCAAGGAGTTGGAATACTTACTTTTCATTAATCTGCACACCAATTTTCTCCAAGCCAATGTTTTTAGTACAAGCGTCACGACCAATAGCTATCAAAACCTGCATAAAATGAATAATTGTCTTAATGACACTATGACAGCCTTGAATGAAAAACCTCCCTCTAGTTATAACATGTTTTGTTTATGAACAGTTTAAATATTCCATTTAGTCTCAAAACTATTTCAAAACTGCCACAGTAACGTGTACTGCACCAGTTTTGCTGTACGAATGTTCTTTTACAGGCTCTCCAGTGACTCTTGAGGGTCACTGAGTTTGTAAAGGTTGCCATATTGAACACCAGCCAAACCTACCACCTACACCCGCACACAAGTATGGTGTTCTTACAGTATTGTATTCTCCTTCAATCATTTCTGATCCTCCCGTTGCTTTTGCTATCACTCTGAGTCTTCCAGGCATGCCATCCTCCAACTTTACAACCTGCATGAACAATCACAAGTATAGACATTTTATCTCAACTTGCATAATATTATCTTGCCACATTCGTCATTTTGGCCTAAGTACTAACCTCATATTACATCCCTTGGCATTAACATTTGTACGTATTATCATTCAATGGGCAACTTTGCACCGGCATAGCCTAGACTGGGTGTTTTAAGCATTTAATTTGAATTACAAGCTTCCTAAGCTCTGTCCTTTTTTAATGTTCTGAGGCTCATGAGGGCTCCCTTTTGACCCAAGGAAGCCTTTCAGAACCTTGGGATGAGGTGGCAATGAAACATTTTATCAGTAAAAAATTGCCAGTGCATTGTCACTGGTGGTCCTGATCTTCTACAGAAAAATGCTAGATATTAGCATTCCATTCTCTGAAGTAAAAAAAAGATGTCTGAATACTTACCTCAATGGGAACAAACTGCCTAATGAATTTTACACCATGGTTTTCCATATATGCACCTGCTTTTTCGGCCATTTCTTGATCAAAGCCACGGAGAAGGATAGAGCGTACCATGACAGTAACGTCCAAACCAAGACCCGCAAGAAATCCTGCACATTCCAGAGCTACATAAGATGCTCCCACAACCAAAGTCTTCCCAGGGCAATAGGGCAGTGAGAAGAGGTCGTCACTGGAAAAGAGTGACATTTTGTTAAAGACTCAGAACACTTTCTAATCTAATCTAATCAGCAAAGTGGTTGAGTGGGTGGTGGCAGATCAGCTTCAGGTGCTCTTGGACGAAACCAATGGTCTGGACCCATTTCAGTCGGGCTTCAGAAATTCGGATGACCTGTTGAGGGAGGCCGATGGGGGCAACATGTCCTTGTTGGTCCTCCTCAACATCTCAGCTGCCTTTGATACCGTCGACCACGGTATCCTCCTGGGGAGGCTCTCCGAGTTGGGAGTCGGTGGCCTGGCACTTGCCTGGCTCCGCTCCTTCCTGGAGGACTGCCCCCAGAGAGTACAGCTTGGGGAGAGGGTCTCGGCCCCATGGAATCTCAATTGTGGGGTTCCACAGGGGTCGATCATCTCCCCAATGCTGTTTAATATCTATATGAGGCCGCTGGGCGGGGTCATCAGGGGCTGTGGGACATTGTGTCATCAGTACAGTGGACCCTCGACTTACAGACGGCTCGACTTACAGACTTTTCGAGTTACAAACTTCTCTGGCTGCAAAATTTAGATTCGACTTGCAGCCAGAGAATCGACTTACAGACCAGAAAAAAAATCAAAATGGAATAAAAATAGAATAAAAACCACTGGTTATGGGATTAATTGGGGCTGCCAGGCTATTGATTTAGCCAGAGTACTATGTGCTAAAAAGCACAGCTGTCGGCTTTGCTGGTCTCATTCTGAGGGATGGTGCTGCTCCTGCTGAGAGCTGTGTGGCTCTCTACCATTTTTTCTCTCTCCAAGCAGAAAAGTTAGGACGATGAAAATCAGGCGAAACCTTGAAAGAGGAGTACTACCCAAAAAAAAAAAAAAGGAAAATATGAATTATGAGAAACATTATTAGCCTCCTGCAGCTTGCCTGACCTGTCTGTATTAACTCATCCATTTTCACTAATTCAAAGGATTCCATCCCACTGCAGGGGGAATCTTCTTAGCTCAAGATATATATGTGTGTATTTAAACGGAGCAACAGAGTGAAAGGAAATGTTCAGAAAGGAAAAGGAAAATCTTTTCTTTCCTTTCCTTACACCCTCCCTTTAGCTCTAGGCAGTATTAAGTCAAATTAAAATATATCGTTCCCTAACCCGTTGACTCATACAAAGGATGAGAAGACAGAGAAAGGCAGAAAGACATGAATCAAAGCAATTTCAATAACTGTAGTCACAGGACATCATTCATCTGCGATTGTACAGATCTGGGGCTACATAAATTGTGACCTGTCAAACTAAACATAGCCCACCAAGCAAACATAGCCCGTAGCCTAGCAGGGGTTCATCAGTTTCCGCTGGTACTTGTGGTGCTAATATTTGGCAGATCGCCTCCTCCCGCGAAGGTCTACCCGAATCATCCGACAAAGCCAGCAGGGGATGCCGAGGGAGGCCCGGAAGGAGAAAACAAGAAACCGGGCCTTCTCTGCGGTGGCTCCTCGGCTGTGGAACACCCTTCCAACAGAAATTCGGCTGGAACCCTCGCTGGGTGTTTTTAAAAGCCAGTTAAAAACTTGGTTATTCAAGCAGGCCTTCCCTCCAGTCAATTAAGTATTTCTCCTTTTTTCTTTTCTTTGCTATTCCATCTTGGTAATCCTCTCTTTAAATTAATTGTTTTAAATTGAAATTGTAATTGTAATTTTATGATTTTATATATTTTTATACTGTTCTGTTTTATTTTGTAAGCCACCCCGAGTAGACATGGTCTAGAGGGGCGAGGTAAAAATCAAATAAATAAATAAATAAATAAATAAATAAATATTCAGAAACAGACGTTTAGTTTGAGCTCACCTTGTAATACAGTATTCTTTATCTCCTGGTATACCTAAATATCGAGGTCTTTCTCCTGTGGCAATAACAAATGACTGAGCTGTGTAGAAAGTTTCTTGCCCTTTTCTATTAGTTGCCTAGTAAACAGAGTAATACTGTTAGAAGCAGCTCTTTATTTAGATGACGTTTTCCCTAAGATATTAGCAGCAGCATAATTTTACCAAAAATTACTTATTGCTTTGCAAACAACAAAGTGACAGAAAAAGATAACCCATTTAACATTAAACATCCATCTTGAGTAAGTTCACAGAAAACAATACAAATAACTTGATTTATGAACTGGATGCAAGTCAAGTCCAGCTACCCAATCTTTATAGCCCCCCCCCCCCCGAGGTTAAATAAAGCTTCACTGAAGTATACCTAATGGGAATCTTAACCTAGATATTATTCAGATATAACTACCCCAGGGTCTCAGAGTTTTAGACTCATGTGATTTATCTCATTCTTCCACCTTCAGTGCACAGAACAAAAATGTCTTTCTTTTAAAAGGTAAAGGTAAAGGTTCCCCTTGACAATTTTTGTCCAGTCGTGTTCGACTCTAGGGGGCAGTGCTCATCCCCGTTTCCAAGCCATAGAGCCAGCGTTTTTGTCTGAAGACAATCTTCCATGGTCACATGGCCAGTGCGACTTAGACACGGAACGCCGTTACCTTCCCACCGAGGTGGTCCCTATTTATCTACTTGCATTTGCATGCTTTCGAACCGCTAGGTTGGCGGGAGCTGGGACAAGCGACGGGCGCTCACTCCGTCGCGTGGATTCGATCTTACGACTGCTTGGTCTTCTGACCCTGCAGCACAGGCTTCTGCGGTTTAGCCCGCAACGCCACCACGTCCGTCTTTCTTTTAGCTCCAACATTTTTATCACTTACTTAAACATTTACATAAACTTCTGTATTTAGGCAGGAAAAATCAGATGCACAAATGCAGAATGGGAGACACTTGGCTTGACAATAGTACATGTGAAAGGGATTTAAGGGTCCTAGTAGACCACAAACTAAACAGGAGTGTGACGCAGCAGCCAAAAAAACAAAAAACAAAACCCTAATATGATACACAGCTGCATTAACATTGTTAGTAAAGATAAAGGTAAAGGTTCCCCTTGACAATTTTTGTCCAGTCGTGTTTGACTCTAGGGGGCGGTGCTCATCCCTGTTTCCAAGCCATGGAGCCAGCGTTTGTCCGAAGACAATCTTCCGTGGTCACATGGCCAGTGCGACTTAGACACGGAACGCTGTTACCTTCCCACCGAGGGGGTCCCTATTTATCTACTCGCATTTGCATGCTTTCGAACTGCTAGGTTGGCGGGAGCTGGGACAAGCGACGGGAGCTCACTCCGTCGCGTGGATTCGAACTTGCAGCTGCAGATGGACAGATCTTACAGCACAGAGGCTTCTGCAGTTTAACCCGCAGTGCCACCACGTCCCTGCTAACATTATTAGTATGTAATCCAAATCAAGGGAATTAACAGTATTACACTATGCTGCATTAATTAGCTAGTATGTGGAATACTGTGTCCAGCTCCGGGCACCCCCATTTGAGAAGGATATTGAGAAGCTGAAACATGTCCAAGGGAGCACAACCAGGATGATAAAGGGTTTGGAAACTAGCCCTACAAGGAATGGTTGTGAGAGGTCAGCATGTTTAATCTGGTGAAGAGGAAAACGAGATGTGATATGATACCCATCTTCCAAATAACTGAAGTTTTCACATGGAAGATGGAGTGAGCTTGTTTTCTGTATCTTCAGAAGGCAGGATCTGAAGTAATGAAATTAAATTATAGGAAAAGAATTTTCAACTTACAATAGAAAGAACTTCCTAATACTGTAGTGAAAGGTGTTAAGACAATGGAATGGGCTACCTCAAAGGGTGGTGGATTTTCCAGTGCTGGAGGTGTTTAAACAAAAATTGGATGATCCATCTATCAGGAATACTTTAGGTTAGGATTTCCTGCTTTGGCAGACGTTGGACTTGATGACCTGTTTGTTCCTTTCTAACCCTTGTCTTCTACAATTCTATCATTTCCTCTCAGTATTATACTTGAAAAAGAGGGTTTTTGTTTTTAAAAAAGATAGAGGCTTCAAAGTAAAGCATGACAAATATGACAGTGGAAACGTTCAGATGTTTGCATATTATGCCTACTCACACTTTTTCATTTATAACAGGTGAACTGTTTTAACAGTCTCTTATTCAAACACAATTTTAATTTAATATTAGTCACAGTAAAATTTTTCTCACAACACATCTACTTAAGCAGGCAACAAAATCTTCATCCTTGTAGCATCAGCTTGCATATATATCCTAACACAGGTTGCAAGGTTGAAATTCCTTGATTGCTTTTTCATTTTATAAAGTCTGTATATATCTGCCTCAGTTGAAAGCTAATAGGTACTTTCAAAAATACAAGAGAGTCACTCCACCCATGGTTAATCATTACTATATCCATTATGTCATGGTTTGTTGGTTTGTTTATTTTTAGCAAGAGCTTTACAAAGTTTGACATTTGTGTGAGGTAACAGTTTGGAACAGCAACAATATAGGTTTACAGAAGTTGATTTTTCTGACTTTGATCCATTTAAACATTGTTGTTCATACACAAACTTTAAAGCTAACTTGGCTGGACTAGAAGTTAAAGAGCAAATAAATCTGCAGATACCTTAATCTTGTGAGGCCCAATAAACTCTGCGTAGGCATTGAGGTATGTCACAGTTTTTTCACGCAAGGCCACCCGATAACCCCAGTTCAAAGATCCTATATAATTCTGTATTGCTTCAACCATCGTCTGCCAGTTGTGTTTAACTAGAGCAAGAAATACGTGTTTTTCATCCAAGAAATTAAATCTCAATAATAACAGCAAGTCCAAAGCAATTTAAGATTATTATTAAAAAGGTAAACTTTGTAGATGAACATAATAAAGAAAATTGCTTACACTGGCGTCTTTAAGAGACAACTGTGACATTTTAATGCTGCTTTCCCCCCTCTTATTAGTGGAGAGAAAGACAACTTAGCACAAGACAGGCCAAGAACACAAGAACTGTGTGAATGCTGAGAAGCCAGTTGAATGGGAAGTGAGAAACAAAACCAAACTTTCCTTACATTTTCATCTAGTAATACTGTATGTGCCAACGACTTAATTTCACTACAGTTGCTAGTCATTTCTGCCAACCATCAACATCAACCGCCAACCATCAACATCAACCAGTTGTTATCTCTCCCCTAATAAAGAACTGGTGGTTTTTACAAACCTTGCTCATCATATTCCCAGCCAAACTTCCTTGAATCTTGCAATGCCTGGCCTAAAAGGGCTGCTTGATGCATCAGCTTCTTAGGAATGCAGCCAACATTTACACAAGTGCCACCAAGTCCTGAAATGCAAAGTGCAAATTTAACCAAAAGCATCTGGTTTTGTATTAACAATGCTAATTAATTTTACTTGTCCTTTCATTATTTCTGAGCACTTATCACACACTGACAACTATCTTATTAGCCTATAGATTTTGCCGAACTTGCATGTGTAGCACACCTTGAATGAATACTTTATTACGATCAACAGATCAGATGTGGCACACCTTGAAGCCCCCTGTCCTGCACCATCCAATATCTCTCTACACAAATAGAGGTGAAACCACAGCACTCACAACTGTTGCCAGCAGACCTCCATGAAACACAGCAGCAAAAAGCTGCTTTGTTGTTACACACTTCTAAGTCAGTTCTGACCCTATGATCTAATGGCTTCCAAAAGGTTCTGTCAATAATGGCCCTGTTCAGGTTTTGGAAAATCAAAGCTGTGGATTTCTTTATCGATTCATTCAATCTAATACAGTGGTGTCTTGCAAGACTATGTTAATTTGTTCTGCAAAAACATCATCTTGTGAAATGCAGTTCCCCACTGGAATGCATTGAAATCCATTTAATGCATTCCAGTGGGGAAAATAGTCGTCGTCTTGCAAAAATCGCCCATAGAGAAAACCGTTTTGCGACGCGTGGACCAGCTGTCAAAATCGCTGTCTTGCGAAAATCGGTCCCTAAAAAACCCATTTTGCAAGTCGCAGACCTAGCTGTCAAAATCGTCGGCTTGCAAAAAAATGGTCCAGGAAAAAAAAGTCTTGCGAAGCATGGACCGAAACATCACCCAGCGAAAATCGCCCATAGGGAAAACCATTTTGCGAAGTGCTATAGCCGTTTTGCGAGGTAATCGTCTAGTGAGGCACCACTGTATTCTGTCTTCCTCTTTTCCTGCTGTTTTCAATTTTTCCCAGCAATATTGTCTTTTCTAATAAGTCTTCTCATGATGTGCTCAAAGTGTGATACTCAATGTAGTCATTTTTTTTCTAGAGAAAGCTCAGGCTAGACGTGATTAGCAAATAAAATATTTACTACACCAGGCTAAATCCAGCTTTAAATCCTAACTAGAGTAAAAAGCGTGCTGCTTAGAGTAGCGCCAAATCTTCAATTTTTGGAAGAGGGTTTGATAACAAAAGCACACAAACCCAGCAGAGGCAGTTTTCAAAATGTATAAAGAGCTGCATGCAGTAAACTCAAGAGGAATGATTTGCGCTGCCAGCAAACAGTGAATTTGAAAAGAAATTCATTATAAACTGTTTAGAATACTCAAGTAAACAAGAGGCCAGTGTAGCCGACACCTCCATCACTGCTTCCGCAGCTCTCCTACTGGCTGCAGACAACAAGGTTGAAGAGAAAGAGAAGCAGTGTCTCAGCTATTCAATCTCCATATGTGTCAGAACTCTGGAAAATGAGGTTTCAAACTCAAGTGGAGATTCCCCAAAGATAGTGGTGCTTCTCTCTTTAGCCTCACTACCTCTCATGCATAGAAGGGCAATGAAACAGGATGGAAAGGGTGGAGATAGAATGCTCCCCTCTAAGCATTAGTGTTCTGCATGTTTTTAAACAACCAAAATGGGGCAGTGGTTCCCAAACGTTTTGGACTTCCGGTGGCAGCAGCGGCAGAACAGGAGGAGTGGCAAGGGTGGAGCAGGAAGCAAAGAAGCCCAAAGAAGCTGGAACTGAAGCCAGAAGAGCAGCAGCAGTAGTCCCATCACCACTGGATCGGCAAAAAACAAAACAAAGAGAAGCTTCCGTGTTGCTCCTGGCTGGCTTGGCAGCGCATCAGGGAGCTGCAGGCACCACGGGGTGCTATGGGGGACACAGTTTGTGAAGCTCTGAAACAGGCTAACATTGACCAATGTCATTTTCACACAATAACCTGTCTAAGAACTCAGTACACAAAACAGGCTATTCAGGCCTTACAAATGAGCAGAACCAAGAGAAGGCTGACAAATGGACTAATAATCAACAGGACAAGCATAAGCATACCCCATGTAGTGCCCAATGGTGTAGGTACAACATAGTCTAGCACCATGACTTTCTTCCCTAACGTGGCAGCTTCCTGTGGGGGGAAAAAAAAACAATGTAGATATAATACAGACAAAGTCTATGGCTTCATTTACGATATGAGTTAAGCCTTAACCAACATCAATGTTAGCACTTGTGACAAGAGGTTACATACCTGTTAACCCAACAGATTAATTTAGCACAGCATTTATTTGGATGTTTCCTTGCTCTCCCTTCCCTGTGATGCACACATCCCTTTTCATATTTGATTCAGGACCAGCTATCTGAAAGACTATATTCTTCCATATCAGCCTGCGAAGTCATTGTTACAGTCATTGGGTGGGTGGGGGCTTCTTTCAACCCATTCCTTGAAGGCAAGTTTTTTGAGAATAGAAGACAAGCCTTTCTTTGTGGCTGCTCCCAAAGTTTGGAACTCCATGGCCTCCCTTGATTCTTTCACTGACAGTCAAGGGTCTGTTTATTCACAAAAGTCTTTTGTGCTAAAACTGGGATGCTGTTAAAATGTTCTCAACTGATTGGCTGCCATTATATCCTTTTCACTAAAGGACAACAGTGTTTTAATACAGATTCATATTTAATTGTATTTGTTTTATTTAAATTTTATTATAGTAAAGTCCCTTAACATATAAATTCAACGTTTAAGTATTCTACATCATCATTACTTATTTCAATTTTATTTGTACAATCAACAGATCAGATGTGATCATTACTTATTGTTTTATTCCCCTCATTTGCAAGTCTCTTACTTATCCACTCCATCTTCTCTATGTATTTAACAAGTTTCACATATCCATAACCAGACCAATGACCATCCCAAGGATAATGTGAATGAAGGTTTCCAAGAATTAATCATTCAGAATATTGCAACCAGTCTTCATAAACTAACAAAGGAAGATTCTATATATAATAAATGAAGTGATACATCTCATGGATTAAATATGTGCACTGGCATTATCGTGATGTGAAAGATATACTTTTGGAGGAACAAAATTTCTTTTAGAGCATTACAGACAACATTCTTTTATCTCACTTTAACTTGTGTACTCAAATTCCCACTATATTGTTGGTTGCAAGAATTCAGTGCTCTGACAGCACAACTTTATGAATACAGTAAATTCCACTGTATTCAATGGAACATACTAAATATCTAGAATTGCAGCCAGAATCCTTCTCAAAAGCAACACAATTTCTCCTTAGTTCTTCTTCTTTTGTTCCAAAGTCAAAATATGTAAGCGAGCAGTTTTTCACTCTGGCCATAGTTTGATATGCAATACAAGAGAAATTATGTAAGTAGAATGAAAAAAAAATCAAAACAATTTTTAAAGGAACCAAATGCATATAAAGCACCATGTGCTCAGCACTGCTTTGCAGGCTTCATACCTTAGAGCATGAGAGTCCACCAGAACCACCACCAATAACAATTAGGTCATAATCGTAGGCTTCCAACTCTTCACCTTTGCTGTCCCCTAAAAGCTTCTGTAACAAGCCGCTATGGTAGGCCTGCAATAAGGATTCAAGATATACAAAAAATGGAATATTTCATTAATCTTAAGAAATCAAATTCATAATGATAGGTTGTACATAGTGCTATTCTTCCACTCATGAATGATTGTTTGATCAAGCAGGTCCTTCTGGTTCTGGAAATGGAAAAGAGGAAAGTCCATTTTCCTGTAGCCACCTTTGCTACCTGAAATTCCCTTCAGAAGACAGACAGTGGGCAGGATTGGGGGGGGGGGGGGATAAAGGGTTTTGGAAACCTTCATCAAGAAAAGAAATGGGGGGGGTCCTCAAATAAACGTATG